TTCCCATCAAGAAAAAAAGGTCCAATTAAAAATTTATCAATTATTCCTGCCCATACGTTTCAACTAAACTGGTGTTGATGTCTTGAATGCACAATAACGTGTGGGTTTTCTTCGTCCCATTTATGATTATTATGAAAATTGAATGTACCATCTCTGGTAAAACTAGCTTACTAGAGTTTGCTCTGTTTGTAAAATTCATTATATCCCATAAACGAAGGCAGATAGGACAGATATATTTATATGACTTTTTTTTTTCATTATGAAGTGGGTCCCACAAGTTACGAAACATCCTGTATATATGTAGATCTTATTCTTAGATCTTTAGTTTAAATTATTCCATTCACTGTTATTTAATATGTTATCGAAACTGTAACTAGGCGGTGCAATCCTCTCGACGAGAAACACGGAAACATATTCGGCTGGCGCGCCGGTGCTGAAACTTTTCGGAATACCGATCTGTCAGCAACAAAACACGCCTCACGCTATAATTCAGGTTGCCGTTTGCAGTTGATCTATTTACGAATGAAACTTAAATAAAAGTCAGAGACGAGTTTCGATTTTTTAAGTAACGAAAAGTGTTCGAGTAATATTAAGATGAAATGCAGGCACGTCGAATTGCCCGATTTTTGTGACGCGAGCTTGCAGTGAATTTTAACTGGAAAGCTAACGTTTTGGAAATGGCTACGCTGAATGAGTAAAATGTAAATGATTCTCGTTAGACTGGTGTACTTCCGGGTGAGTGCTGGGCGTTTAAAGGCAGCAGTGGAAGCGTTGTTATACAGTTACTTGGCTTCGTGTATGTGTCTGGAGTGAGCTTGGAACATATCCCGCAGTCGATATCTCCTACAGGGGAAACGAGCACCGCTCCGAAAGATTTCTCGATTCTGGTAAATCTGAACGTCTGACCTCGAAATTTCAATCGATCGTTGGAGAAGGAAATTTATAAAATTTGTAAACTTATAAAATTTTATAAACTTATAAACTTATAAAGTTTATAAACTTATAAACTTATAAAGTTTATAAACTTATAAACTTATAAAATTTATAAACTTATAAACTTATAAAATTTGTAAACTTATAAACTTATAAAATTTTAAATTTATGAACTTATAAACTTATAAAATTTTAAATTTATGAACTTATAAACTTATAAAATGTTAAATTTATAAATTTATAAACTTATGAAATTTTAAATTTATGAAATTATAAAATTTTAAATTTATGAAATTATAAAATTTTAAATTTATGAAATTATAAAATTTTAAATTTATAAACTTATAAAATTTTAAATTTATAGACTTATAAAATTTTAAATTTATGAACTTATAAACTTATAAACTTATAAAATTTTAAATTTATGAACTTATAAACTTATAAAATGTTAAATTTATAAATTCATAAACTTATGAAATTTTAAATTTATGAATTTATAAATTTATAAAATGTTAAATTTATAAACTTATAAACTTATGAAATTTTAAATTTATGAACTTTTAAAATTTTAAATTTATAAACTTACAAACTTATAAAATTTTAAATTTATGAACTTATAGACTTATAAAATTTTAAATTTATAAACTTATAAACTTATAAACTTATATACTTATAAAATTTTAAATTTATAAACTTACAAACTTATAAAATTTTAAATTTATAAACTTACAAACTTATAAAATTTTAAATTTATGAACTTATCACCGTTTACTTCCAGGGTTTAACCAACGTAGACGATACAAACCCCTTCTTCTTCGGTGAATTCACGTACGACAATACCGCCCCTTCTGTACAATATTTCGAAGTTCAGGTAAAGTAATATCGATCGATGCAAATTTTGGGAAAAGATACGCTACGTTTGTTCGACAATTTGCAGAACAAGGCAAAGATACCGTACGAAATAATCGAATTGAAGGTTCACTCCAATAGCGGCAACAATGAGTATACCTGCATCTACAGAATAAGGGTTCACGGTACTCTTAAGGTACACTGAGTAAAGAGAGTAGGTAACTGAAATAATCGTTTAATACTTGATCGGGTGCAGAAATTTCGACACGACCAAGGGGACTTGGCTAGATAAGAATTCGAAAGGATTGTCGTAATTAATGTATAATTAATAATATAAGATCGATTTGGATAAGATTTTCGCACGTAAGGTATTATGTATGCTTTGTTATATAGTAAATAAAGACGTATTATAATCTTTATATTGCTATTTCCCTTCTTCTTTGAAATTCGCCAATTATTTATTATAGTATATATTATAATATAATATATATAATTTATAATTATAATATAATTATAATATATATAATTATTTATTATAATATTTATTATAATATAATACAATTATAATGTAACTTAATATAAAACATATTAAACATAATTCAATTCGAAGGGAAACGTAATGATGGAAGGAAAGTAGTATTGTGAGACAATGGTCAGACATGTGTGTTCCCACTGCTCGAAGCTTAGAAACTCCAAACTCAAGATTCAGAAATTTTGAACGAAGAAAAAAAAAAAAAAAAAAAAAAAAGAAACAGAAACAAAGGCGAAGCGAAGAAATGAAAAAGTCGTCGGGTCAATTCAACGTAATCGTCATTCAGTTTATTACATTTGTACATATTTAGTCTTGTTCTACGCTTCTATCGTCGTGCTCCACCACTCTCTCTCACACACTCGCACTCACGCATGCAACCTTTCTCTCTTCTCTTCTTCCATCCTCTCATTTTCTCTCTCTCTCTCTCTCATTCTCTCCTCTCTTCCTCCTCTCTATTTTTTTTTCTTTTTTTTTTCTTCTATCGAAGTTGGACCGAACATTCACGTGGCTAGACATTTCCCTCCAGAGAAGAAGAAAAAAAAAAAAAAAGAAAGAAAGAAAAAAAGAAAAGGAATTATTCACGTATACGCACATGTACGCATCAGGCAGACAAAAAAAAAAAGGACGCTATGGGCCATGCCTGGTAATATTTAATTAATATAAAATAGCATACATCTGAGGGTGGCTAGCCATTCTTCGTTCCTCCATTCCTTCCAACTTAGTTTCCTCTTTCTCCCTTTTCTTTTCCCACCTTCATGGTGTGTTCATCACCTTCTTCTTCCCCCTCTTACCATTGTAATTTCCCTCCCACTTGCTTTCGTGGCGTTTCGTTTTGTCGATTTTTCTTTTTCTTCTTCTTTTTCTATTTTTTTTTTTTTAAATCTCTTTTCTCCATTTTTGTTTTTTTTTTTTTTTTTTTTTTTTTTTTTTTTTTTTTTTTTTTTTCTTTTTTTTTTTTTTTTTTTTTTTTTTTTTTTGTTTTTTTCTTTTAAATAGACGATTACGCGCCTCTTCAGGGGCGAAGAACAGACTCGAGAGGCACGCGGCAACAAGTACACTGAACAACACGTTTAATAACTCCGATGTACACGCGCTCGCGTGCACGAATTTCATCCTCTTGTACTTATTATTCACGTTTAACGTTTTCTCTTCTTTTTTTTTTCTCGCACACGCATACGTGTATGTGCGCACGCGTACGCATATATCTCTCATTTTGCTAACTTCATTGCGTTCGCCATTTTTCCTTTCGTTCCTCTTCATCTCTCTCGCGGAAAGAACACTTGTAATCCGTCGTCAATCCTTTCTTTCGGTTTCTCTTCCACAAAGAAACGCCTCGTTTGCCTCTGTCTCTGTCGCCCTCAAACAAAACACATCCGTGCAGCTGATCGGCGAATTTTCACGCTCGGTCGCACGATTTCATTCCGTGTGGCTAGAGTAAACTATAATTCGGAGGTCAGTCGTCTAACGCTATCGAGCTATCGAGACTCGGTCGTGGTGCCAGAGAGACGCGCGTTGTGTGTTAATCACGTATGTATACATACATACATATACACATTTATACACATATATATATATATATATATATATATATATATATGTATATATCATATACGAATATACATTATATAATCTACAAGTTTCTGATTAAAAGGTCCAAGGAAGTCCAATACGCCAGCTCGACTCTTTCGTGACACATTGTCCTTCCTCCCCTTTGTGGTTCCTTTCCTCCCTCCTTCGTTTTTCTATTTCGAAATTTTCGTTTCCCCCTCAATGACACACAGATATAATCACTAATCGCTCCGGCCATAAATGCTGAAACGGGACAGACGCGTATTCGCGCATTCTACGGTCAACAATTCCGGAATCGATAACTACAACAACAACAACAACGGGAACGCGGAGAACGCGGCGATCCACCAGATCTCGATCGTGGCTAGATCGTTCAGGAGTAGAATAGGCGCGATTGTGCGTACGAGATTTGCGTTAGACCTTTTAAACGGTTTAGTTTCTCACAACGTTCCTAGATGAACAGCCGATTGACACCCACAGCTACGTGGGTTTTTTTTTCTTTTTCTTTTTTTTTCTTTCGTTCGCTATACGATACGGCTGGATCCTTACGATCGATCGATCGGCTACGAAGAATCCGTCGTCTGTTTCACTAACGATTGTCAGGCTCGTCCGTATTAACGATTAACGATTAACGATTAGGTAAAGTGAAACGAATTCCGCGTGCCGTTGGCCGTGAAAATTGCACGAGCTCGTGGAAAACAGGTTGCTATAGTAACGTCGTCGAACGATTCGAATCGAAGTAATTTCGCGATTATCATTTTTCTTCTTTTTTTTTTTGGAATTTTTCCCCACCCACCCCCCTCTTTCTCTTCGTTCGTCGACGTTATTGTAGCAACCTGTGTGGATACTTCGAGCGAAGTCCGCCATCGATCGTTTCGTAAGCGCGGGCACCACCACCGCACGAAGGTTCGTCAACGTTCGTCAACGTTAGAAGGCATAGAATTGCGTTTATTTTATACTTCCTCTCATTTTTTTTCTTTTTTTTTTTTTTTTTCTTTTTTTTGGTATGTTTTTTTTTTCTTCTTCTTACTGTTACTATTACTCTTATCTTAATTTACTCTTCTCTTCCTCGCTTCATCTTCGTCTTTCTTCTTCTTTCTTCTTCTTTTTTTGGATCTTCTCCGCCATTTTTTTTCGCTTCTTCCTCCCTCCACTTGTAATTTGTTGAATTTATCCCCGACAATCGTTTAAATATTACCGCACGCGGTAGTATCAAAATAAACCACACCGAGTGTATAGTATAGAATATTCGTAAGTGTATGTATGTACAGTAGAGTTCTCTTCTATCGTATTTATATATTTACGATTTTATATCCTCTTTTTTTTTTTTTTTTTTCCCCCCCCCCCCCCCCACTTCACTTCTACCGTAGCCACGTTCGTCCTTTCTTCGTTTTACGTTTCTTTCCCGTCTTTTTTCTCTTTTTTTCTTCTTTTTTTTTTATTAAAAAGTATCGCCACTGCTCTGTTCTCTTTTCGTCTGTCTAACTCTCTGCTTCCCCTTTGTTCCTTGCTCCTTGCTTGTCACAGATATCTCTCTCTCTCTTTTATATATATATATCTATATATATAGGAAATACACTACGATTAAAGTATATCACAGATGTTAACGAGAAGAACGTTCTAGAAACGCGAGAAAGAAACGAAGAGAAGGAAACGAAGAGAGTGTCTTCACTCATCGTCACACAGTCGCCGCAGGGATTTTCGTCGGGAATTTAACACGGCAGCTGGCATCGGCGTATAGCTTTCCACGTTGAACCCCGCCGAATGTTCAATTAACCAATTGACATTTAGAGATTTACAGATTGTACGAGTTTCAATTTGTATTAAAGATTATCACAACGTTCGGAGTGTTTATATAGTCTTATGCTCATAGTCGTACTTTGTTTCTCTCTTCTTTCTTTTTTTTTTTTTTTTTTTTTTTTTTTGTTTCAAACCTCGAACTCCGAGCTAATCGTAATCGAGTATTTCTTCTTCTTCTTCTTCTTCTTCTTCTTCTTTCTTACTTTTTTTCTTTTTTTTTTTTTCTCTGTTACGAGAGAGTTAGCTGTGAAAGAGGTGACAAAAATACTATTATAATCGACTAAACTATGAACTGGCTGTTTATTACTTTAGCCAATCGTAACAATATTCGTTTCGGCCTCCACCTTTCTCCTTTTCGACCATCATCCCGTTTTTGGTTCTTTTTTTTTTTTT